TAATAGAGAGAGAGAGAGAGAGAGAGAGGCAGGGGCCTATAGGATTTTGGGGAAACATTACATAAATTATAAGATTAAGAGATAAAATTATAGAGTAATCGCATCTCTAATCCCAAAAGACCTCCCTCATGCATTAGAAAACCTAGAGAGAGATTCTGAGGCCAAACCCATTCTTTTGAACTACGGGAATCTGTGGTGGGTTCATCTTGCTTTTGGGAGTGGGTTAGAATCGTAGATAAAGTTAAAAAAAAACAAACAATAAGTTACATTCATTCACTAAATTCCTGAATGCAGTGGTTTTTCTTGGTAAAAAAAAAGCGGCCAAAAAAGTTATAAAGAAATGTAAAATTCTCATGTCAAGGTACATTCAAATATTCATAAATTTGGGGAAATGCGGTACCCCATTGGAAATTTAAATAGTTAGCACGTAGTTCATATTTATGGTTGCCTTTTAATATAGAATATGTATGGGGGTGGTTACACGTAAGGGAAAAGATACTTTTTAGTCACTTAACATGAGGACCACCTTTGTTCTCAGATACGGCCTGCGTCGTTCAGAAGATGCTTAGGATTATGCCGTGGGATTATTAATGTTTGGGTTGGGTAGACCCTATGCATCAGCATTGCTACTATTGGTAGTAGAACCACAGTTTGAAATTCTAGAGAGAGAGAGATGTGTTTATGTGAGAGAGAATGAGAGCCATTGTGTGTGGGAGTCAGAAGAGAGAGAGAGGAGATTTGCTACTACTGGTACTTGAGCTACGGTTTGAAATTGTATCACGTATGTATGTGTGTGAGAGAGAGAGAGCAGAATTGCTACTATTTGTACTAAAACCACACCTTGAAATTGGATGGAGAGAGGGGTGTATGTGTGTGTGAGAGAGCAGAAATGCTGCTATTTGTATTAAAACTACATCTTGAAATTGGAGGGAGAGAGGGGTGTATGTGTGCGTGAGAGCAGAAATGCTGCTATTTGTACTAAAACTACAGTTTGAAATTGGATCAAGAGAGACGGGGGTGTGTGTGTGTTAGAGAGAGAGATGTGGGTGTGAGAGATTAGAGAAGTATGTGTATGTGTGGGTAGGAGAGAGAAATGTGTGTCCATGTGTATGAGAGAGAGCAATGTGTGCGTGTAAGAAAGACGAAGGTAGAGAGAGATAGGAGGGTAGAGAGAGAGTGAAAGTGATAGTGCAGGTGGGTTGATGGTACCAGTGCAAACAAACTCCCACGCAAGGGCAAAAGCCCCAATCGCTCTCTACGAGGGGATGATTCTCTTTTCAAATTTTTCTTTATATTAAGTGTATGTGTGTGTGTTATCCCCCTTGAATCCCGTGCCCAAACGGTCACTAGGAATGCCCACATAAAGTTCCATTTTATATAATATCCACCCATTGATTTTCTTCTCCTTTTGTTTAATTGTTCTTTATTATCTTACTGACCCAACCAATTGATTATTCAGTCCTTTTGTTTAACTGTTCTTTATTATCTTACCGACCAACCAATTGATTATTCACTTTGCCTTCTCAGTTAAGAGCTGAGCCACACTGTAACTTTATTCTTTCTTTTTTATATAGGTATAAAGGATCAAACAAAAAAGCAAAATTAAATAACCCAAAAATGCCAGTTTCCTTTATCTTTTACTGCAATATTTGTTAGGAAACCCAAGGTGGCTTTTGGGCTACCTGAAATATTTTGGGGTTTTAAGCCTAAAACCACCCTTTGCCCTAAGCAAACTAACTTCAGTTGCATTTGTGCTTGAGGTCATTTCCCTTGTCTTTTAGTAGAGTTCTTTATTTTTTCCTAAACCACATGATTATGCCAACTAATATAATATTGGAAATAAGCTGAGTCCCACGAATCTTTACAGGTGTCAAAATCTGAGTTGAAGTCATTTTTTAGATCTAGAGCTACAATGTCATTTTGGATATGTATGAAAAAAAAACTGGCAAGTTGAATGATAGTTCTAGTTACTTGGGAGTTAAGAAATTAAAAAGCTTGTTAATGTTGGCAAAAGAAGTGAAAAATTTGGAAAAGGTTAACAGAAACTCTGGCAAAAAAACGAGTCAGTATATATACCAAAGGGATCACTAGAAATAAAATAAGAAGAGTAATTTCAGGTTAGAAATGAGAGAGAGTGAGAGCTCTCGTACGACGGAAGGATGGAGGTGAATCTACAAAGGATACAAATTCCAAAAGAGACACATGGGACTCATCAAGAAACTATTTCACCAGAATAGCAGAGCTTTCGCAAGAACATAAGTCATACATCATCAAAGAAATCATTATAGAAACATCCGAGCAAAAGAAATGCACAGATGCAATGAATGACAAATACATTCCTCAAGCAAAAATCTTCTGAATACATACCCAAATAGTGGAACTAAATTTTGGGTACTTTCTTTTGGTCTTGGGCTACAAGCAAAAGACACCCATTATATCATCTCATGTCATGCCCTTCCATCCACATCAAATCCAGCACCAGTCCATCCAGGACCAGAAGGGCCCCTTCCTTTCTGCAAAATCAAGTTGCCCTTACCTCTTCCCAAATTCACATTCCGCATCTTTTTCCCTCTAACTTCTCCCTCAGCGGTTTGGGATTGATGCAGATTATTAGGACCAGATGCATCACCATCCTTACCATCAGCATCCACAGTATCAGGGCCTCGAGCCAGTGATTCAGTTGTTTTCTGATTTGGAGCTGCATTTGAAGCAACGATGTTGCTCTGAGCTTGTATTAACTTTGCATCCTAACCACATCAAGAGTCCATAAGAAAAATTATAAAAAATAAGAAAAAAAAAAACAAAAACCAATTCAAACAAGAGCATGTAATAAAATTCAAAACTCCATATCTAGTAATTTTCTATTTTGTAAACCTACATATTCACAAGAGAACGGGGAAAAAAATGTGTCCATAGAGAAGAAAGAGAAGATGATGATGATTTAATAAAAGAGTCTCACTAACAGATAGATCACATTGAGAAACTCTGCTTGGGTTTAATGCCTCTAGTCGTCTTTTCAGCTCCTCTAGCCTTGTGAATTGGGAGGATGTGCTCTCTTGAACCTTCAAGAGCCATAAGAAAATTCAGATATATTCTTAAGTAGCTCCACATTGATCATAAATTAAATTCAAGCAGGCATGTACCAGATGGTTAAGGTCATCACATAGCTTCTGCTTGTTTGCTTCCTCGTCCTTTAATGCCTTCAAAGCAGCTTCCCACTCCTGAAATGCATTAGTTCGTCATCAACAATCTATAGACGCCTGAGGAAATTCTTGCAAAGTAAGCATATTATTGATGTAGAAGTAGTTAACGCATGAAATGCATTTAGTTCGTCTTCAACACTCATACAGACAACAGGATGAAGGGCCATACCATCAGTAAGACCAAAAGTCACCACATCTAAAATTTATGATCTCTAAATACAGAATGAACCAGTGGCAGAAGTACCATGTAATTTATAATTTCAAAATTGTGTGTTTTTCCCATTTGACACTTTTCCAGTCTCCCACCAAGAGTGTCACACTACAAATATTTCTAACCCCCAACACCCAAGTTCAGCACATTCCCAACCAACCAGCATATCCATCTCAAACCTTAGCATCTTAAACATAATTCGTCACTGCAATCTCCCTCTATTATCACATCACAAGCTGCCAAATATATTCAAAGATGCGAATATGACATCCCAAACAGGTCCAAAAGGATTGAGAACCCCCTTTCCACTAACTAGATATGTCCTCTTCATACACACCAACTACACTGCACCACCCCACAAAAAAATGACAAAATATAACCCCCACCTTAAAGAGATTTTAACAGAGAGCATGGAAAATTTAAGTTCAAGCCCATGAGTTCATTCCCAGTTCAAAATGAGTTTCTTTGCTCCTTTGAACTGTCTTGGTAGCTGATTAATAATCTCATCAGCTTAAGGTGGTCATCTTATTGCATTAATTCTAATTCGGGATGAAAATGTTTACAAATTTCCAGCCCTTTAGAAGCTGATAGGCATATGTCAACCCACACAAGTTCATGGACCTTGTGGTCCCAAAATATAGGTGAAACCTTGCAAAATTTTCTAAACTGTAATATGTAAAAAGGGTAGATAAAATTGAGGGTTTTCAAACATCAGGCTTGGATTTTTTGGGATTTTTGAGACAAGACAGTTGTGTCCCCCTCACATTGCCTTTTGTCATTTCTTATTTTCTATTTATTAACAACTAAAAATGGTTTGTCATTTCTTATTTTCTATTTATTAACAACTAAAAATGGCACATGTAATGCAAAAATGCTCCTGCTGAGAGATTTGATGAAAAATTAATTTCTAAATATTTAATTAAAGGGATAATATATTATAAGACCATTTAAATCTGACATTTTGGGTGCACCACAAAGTTCAAAAAAAATTTATTTTAACTTCGAGCCTAGTTTAAGAAATAAACCCAAGCCACCAAATTTCAAATCCAACAGCTGAAACTGAATTTTCGTTTTAACTTTGAGCTTGGTTTAAGAAATACCCCAAGCCACCAAATTTCAAATCCAACAGCTGAAATTGATTCTGACTTCCTTGTAACAAAACCAATATTGAAGAACTTGGCTGGTTCCACCCAAATCCGGCCAAGTTGCCTACTCGGGCACATGGGAAAGCGTTAAAAAACAAAGGCGGCAGATTTTTGCCCCCTTTTTCCATCTCTCTCTCTCTCTCTCTCTTTCTCTCTCTCTCTCTTTCTCTCGATCTCTCGATCAGTTCATCTCTCTCTCGTTTGGCAATGCCTTGTCTCTTCCCCAATATATTTCCCCATATTGCTATTTCTCTAATGTTTTAGGATTTTTGTTTTGGGAAAGGTTTCTATGCTTCCCCTACAGCATAGAAGTTCTATCCTCCCCTTACCATTCAGCCGTCCAATTTTGATCAAGAGAGTCACTCACCGTTTGATCTTAGATCCAACGTCTCAAAGTATTTTATTTTTAGTTGTTTTTATAAAAATTGCAAGAATATGAAATTTCGTACGTGCCATCTTCTCATTGGGGCGCACCCATAAAAAATATTTGAAATAAGTTTTTGATAAAATATAATGACCAAAATACCCCTTGAAATTTTCAAGGGTGTTTTGGTCATTTTATTTTATTGAAAATGTTTTTTTCATATTTTTCGCTAGTGAGAGTTTAATAGAGGAATGGACATCCAAAATTTGGTGTCAAAATAGTTTATAGAAAAAAAAATTAAAAATAAAATAGTGTAGAGATGTGACATTGTGATTGGGGCAATCTTAGCCCTCCATTCAGAATGGAGGGTTGGTAAGGGAGAGGATAGAACTTCTATGTTGTAGAGGAAGCATAGAAAGCTTGCCCTTTTGTTTTTTATTTTTTTAGGCATTTGCATGCCAGTACAGAACTCGCACAAGTGGACTCACCCAAGTTACTCAGCTTGGACAACGGCAAGTCCTAAGCCCGTGCCAGGTATTCAAACCTTAACCAAGAGTAAACAGTCCTTAAATTGCAAAGCAATTATTTTTATTTCATTTGTTTTTCAATTTATAAGATATTATTTTAATATTTAATTTTCTATTTAACCTTAGTTAGATTCTTTTTTTCTTTTTTGATAAGTTAAATACAATTGTAGAAATTCTTATTTTTATGATTCTTATTTTTTAATAAGAATAATTAGAGCATGTAAAGGTCCTTTCTAAATATTTAGGTAAATTTTTGCTTTATGCTTGCTTCAATTGCTTCTCAATAGGAGATTAATCTTTTAAATCAAGATTAGGCTAAAACTCAAAAGAAATTTCTAACGAGAGACAAATATGCGTTTTTTTTGGGCATAGTTATCATTGGATTTATATTAAAATCAAAGAGATTTTCCAGCAAAGCAGTTTCAGGGATGAGAGTTTAGAGAGAGAAAAAAAGCAGACAGCTTTTAGGAAATTGGAAGGGACAAATAAGAGTGTTCATAAATTTAAGAGAGCCCCATAGTTATATATATATATATATATATAACCTCTAGAAGAAATCATTTCTTTCATCCTCTTTTTTTTTTCTTTTTTTTGTTATAGGTAAGAATGCATAATAACAAGTTCAATTAAGAGGAAACTGAGTCATTAATAGACTCTTAGACATGTCCATGAGGTAGATGAACTTAGAGTTTCATAGTCAAGATCTACTTCCTAGTAGAATGTTAAAAATCTGGAATATATACTCAAAAAGTAAACTAACTAGACAAACCTTTCTTGCTTGATCTTCTTTCTGCTTAGCGACATGTATTCTCTCTGCTGATAGCTCTATCTTTTTCCTCAAGTGCTCAAGAGCTACAGATTCGTCAAACAAACAATTAGCAAACCATTGCCAAGTCTACTTAACCAGATCAGAAATCAAACTTTTTTCTGGAGGAAATTGCAAAAATCCAAGTACCCAAAAGCTATACCTGCCTTTTTAGGTCCAGCTGTGAGCTTCAACTCCAGTGTGAGATTTGCTAGCTCCCGTTCCACATCACGAATCTTAGAATAGTTCTCTTCAATGTACCTGAGAAACTTATGATTATTTCCTTCAGAAATATGCTAGTATGGGCTATCCATGTTTCTCTAAAGAGCAGTAAGAAGCATTTAGAACCATAAATTAAACTGAATGAAAAGACTCATAACTATGTTAAATATATCTCTTGCATGTTCATGGATCAAATTAACCACACAAGCTACTTAGCAAAGTAAAACAATCACATCAATATCCAATCATGCACGTCAACCCAGCGAAACAATTGCTTAAGCCATTTCATCATCATCAGATCATCCCAGTTTGTCATCCCCCCTCTCAAAGTATTAAGTATTCCAGTTAATATCCCCTAGGGTCAGTCCAGGCAATCATACATAGTTATTATATTATACTTCCTAGTTCCTTCATCACGGTCTCCCTCTAGCTTGCATGCCATTTTGACGTCTAATAATCGACTTTATGTTCACTATGGGGTGGATAAATAACTTGTTTTTCCTGTTGCAAAGAATCCCACGCATCCCTTATTAAAGAAAAAAATTCACATATTTGTGCATTAATGATCAGTAGTCAAAATCAATTTGTGAATTTCAAAACTGCTACGGTCACCAACTTGCAGGAACTAGTTATTTTTTGATCTAGGTGTTATTTATGCCTGAGAGGCAGAGCATCACATTAGATAAAGAACAGCCTTCTGCCATTGCATTGGACATAGATCAGTTCTGATTCCTTGAAAGAAGCACATTATTATAGGCATGGGTTATCTTCGTCCTCCCTAAGTCTTAATTGCACAAGGTGTCAAACAGATACCTGATGGGAAATTAATAAGTCCACGTGTCTGTGTTAAGCAACTATATCGAATTATGTGATTAAGAACAGTCAAATTAATAGTTCTGACTCCTGACTGGCTTTGTAAACTGAATCACCATTAGGAATCTGCATCTGAAATATTTGACCAAGTGATAATCAGATTTAAAGTCCTCCAACCAGGCATAGTTCAATGATTCAATCAAGGATGCAAATAATCTTCTAATGAGGGCTGAACACTATGCCCTAAATGAGTATTCACTACCTTAGTGACGCACAAGATATGAGTTCATGAATATGGTTCCAGCAGGAAACTATCATAGGCCTATCTGAGTGAGTAAACTCCCACATTATCTAGGAAATACACCTCTAGAAAACAAACAAGTATGGCAATCAACTGCAATCCGGTCCCCTATGTGCCACAAATGCAGTGATAAATCAATCAACCACTGCCAGATCCTGTGAAAGCTATCTCTCAAGCAAATCCCTAAGGGTAGTTTGTCCATGTACTACTTTTTCAGTTAGCAAAATAAAGAAGGGTACTTCAGATAGTGAAGCTACACAAATGCCTCCTCATGTAAATCACCCTTATGAAAAGCACTCTTAATGTCCGCTTGTGATAGAGCTAACCCTCGAAAGAGAAGTAATAGTAAAATTATCTCAAGCTTAGCAACTGGAACAAATGTCACCTCAAAGACCATGAAATAGGCCTAAGTATGTAGAAGTATGAGAATAGGGTGCCAGTTACCAAAGTTCTCACCTTATTCATCCACTTACAGAGAGGGGGTTTACCAACTACAAGTGAAATAACATCCTAGTTCCAATTTTGTTTGACTGCTATAACTCCCTTTTTATTTGGCTTTTCACCCTAATCACATCATGTGACTTATTTGTAAGAAGATCACTCGTGACAGAAGAAAAGCCAGAAGAGCATAATGACAAGCAAATAAGACCAAAGCTCAAATAAGGAGCAGCCAAACACCGTACAGGTAATGGAGAAAACTAAAATAGAAAACAAAAAGACTATTAACTGATGAGGTTTAGAAACTTCATATTCAGTTTCTTATGCAGTAGACAATGACTTAACAAATCTTTCAACAATGACCTGTTGAGCAAAGATCTATTTAAGAACTTGAACATTCTACTCAACTAATTACGGTGTTTTGCTGGTATTGTCAGAAAATGAAGGAAATGAAAGTTTCACTAATAATAGGTGATTATTCAGTAAGTGAAGTGTGAAGGAATAGCTTTAAGAAGACTAACAAGAAAGTAGTGAACAACATTTACTTCTAATATCTCAACAATGATTTCCCTGTTAATTAGCATATACCAGAAGAACACATATTTAGAGTAATGCAGACAACTACAAGCACTCACAAGAACAGATTGGCGGAACACAATCAGAACTCCAAAGACATTTGGAATTATAGATGCATTTGTAAGATATCAGTTAGAGTAACACTAGAGATACAGGTAACAAGGTTGTAGTCATCAAAAGACTCTAAGTACAACTAGCTTTAGCAGAATTTAAATAGGAAAGAAGACAAAAAGGCAGAGCTTCTAGATTCCATGGAGCTTGTAGATTCCATGACATCTCTGTTTTCCCACTTGGAAATGGCATTTAGTTTAATCTTGAGCCATGTTCTTTAGTCAAGCATGCCGTGAGATTCAAATGTTCGCCACCCAAATAAAATTACAGATTTTTAATGGGTTCTTTTTTTAATCACATTATGAAATCAAGAATATTGGCAAACTTTGAAAATAATTTCATCAGATATAGCCAAGCGAGCATATAAAATTCATCCTCAAAAGTATATAAGCATATAATGATCTAACTTTTGTTCGTACCAGGTATGAACCCAAACAATCAAAGTGCACAGTATTAAACAAGAGTTACAATATATAATTTTATTATCAGAAGAATGCAAAGACAATGTTGAGAATTTAAAATTTGACAAACAAAGCCGTTGCAAGAATTTGGATGATAAAGAAAGTCACCAACTCCATCTGATAATTTTGGAATTTGGAGTTATTTCAGCAAAGGTGATGTGTTGAAGGCTCCCGCGAGTTATCTTAATGAAAAAATAACCAACTTTACAGCCTCCACTAATTAAAATTCTTGTTAAGAGAAACTAAATAAAGCATTCAATACAAAGGAAGGAATATTAAAAGGGAAAGGTTTCTATACTTCCCCTACAGCATAGAAAAGATATACTTCCCCCCCATCCAGCCATCCAATATAAATCAAGTGAGCCACTAATTGTTTGATCTAGATACGATGCTTTAGAGTATTTTATTTTTAGTTTTTTTCTAAAAATTGTATGAATATGAAATTTGGTACATGTCTTCTCAATGGGGCGCACCTAAAAAAAATATTAAAAATAAGTTTCAAGAGGTATTTTGGTCATTATATTTTATTGGGAATATTTGTTTTATATTTTTTACAAGTGCGAGTTTAAGAGAGGAGCCCAAAATTTGGTGTCAAAATATTTTGTAAAAAAAAATTAAACTCAAATAGTGTAAAGACATGACTTGTGAATGGGGCCATCTCAGCTGTCCATTCAGAATGGACGGTTGGATAAGGGGAAGCATATAAGTTTTATGTAGTAGGGGAAGCATAGAAAGCTTGCCTATATTAAAAATGTGTTCAACAACATGTCCGCTAATGAAAATATTACCTCGATATGTCGAAATAAACAATCAAAAAAGAAAAGCAATGAATCTCAGGACAAATAGATCCAAAGAATCTAAAGATAAATAGATCCAATTGATTCATAAACAAGCGAGATACAATCACCCAAAACAAATATGAATCCCCTAAACCAGGACAAGAACAAGACAGAAGATGAGAATTGCCCAATGTAATTGGAAGCACCAAAATTTAATAGCCAAAGTATTATAAAAAAATGGCGAGTAAAATCTACCGCAGAACTGCACAAGAAAGGAACTTGATGCATCCATTTCAGTAGACAACATAAGAAGCCACCTTATCATGGTAAATAAAGGAATATCATATGGCAGATCCACAAGTTTTCAGAACATCATTTAAGATACTGGACAATGGACATAGACACGAGAGTTTGCGTACAACTTGTACACTTTGTACATGGATTGCTCCAAAAAAATAGGTGACATGCACGCGCCCACAAACACAGAGTGATTAAATACGAATAAATTCATAAAAGTTAGATATGCGTGTTTAATGTATGGATGCATTTTCCAGCCACTAGAGGAAATCCATATCATGGATAGATGTGTCTAAATCATGGATATACAATTTAGGCATGTGTCCAGATCTGAAAACATATCAATTCTTGACACATTGAGCTTAAGTGTATGACATGAAAAAATTCAAGACACACCAGATGACACTTCCCAGAAAGTGTAGACTGGCATGTCTGAGGTTTCACCATGTGCTAGTGTATGTTTCAGTGTGCAACATGCCGAAAATGGCCCATACATATTATTATTACACAATTAACAATCCAATCCTGAGCAACAACTGTTAAAGGTATGTATCTGCTAATTTAATAGAGCAAATCAACTTTCTGCTTCATTACATCGAACTGCACATATATGCTGCTAAGTCTCTTGCACTTAATTACTCCTATTTTATGACCCTAAAAGTGTTGGGCTCTAACATGAGTGCAATGCATCACAGCTTGAACAATGTTTTGGTTAAGTTGTTACTGTCAGACAAATGAGGCCAATATTGTCTACTTAGAAATCAAATCAGCAATGCTGTCCTTCAAAACTGGGAAAGTAGCATGGTTGAAGATAGAAGCCTTGATATCATCATAATCAAGGAAGAATTCACAAGAATAGATACCAAATACCCTATGTTGCAAGATTAGATATAAACTCTTGCATCAATAGTAGAAGTCAAATTCATTAACAGTGTTATCTATTGTTAGCCACATCCATGAGTGTTAAATGAGGAGTGGAGTATATGCCATTAAGGGTCCTTACATCTTGAAAATCTAGCTGTAGAAAATGAATTTGGCATTGCTTGTTTGACGATAAACAGTGCAGATGATTCCAAGCCAACTCCCACCCTCCACCCCACACCCCCCACCACGAGTGTTAATGAGGAGTGGAGTATGTGCCATTAAGGGTCCTTACATCTTGAAAATCTAGCTTTAGAAAATGAATTTGGCATTGCTTGTTTGACGATAAACAGTGAAGATGATTCCAAGCCAACTCCCACCCCACACCCCGCACCTCCCTCTCTCTCTCTC